AAGTCAGCGCTGCAGCCGGTCCGGTTGGGATGGGCGGCGTGCTTGATTCGGAAGTGCACAAGCGGCAGGCCCCGATTTGGACCTACATGAAGAGCCGTGGTTTGTATGCTGGCGTTGCCGTGGATGGTACCATCATTATCGAGCGTACCGATGAGAACGAGCGCTTCTATGGCGAGCGCATATCGGTTACTGACATTCTTGCGGGCAAGGCCAAACGGCCTCCTGCATCGATTCAAACGCTGCTGAACACCGTCAAAGCTGCCGAGGGCAACCCGGCTGTGGATGAGAACTTGCTGCCACCCGGAGAAACCCCTGGGGATGTTGAGATTGTGCCTGGACCGGGCTCGTTTGGCATTCCCGACCCCGAGGACCCCGATCCATTCGGTGTCAAGGCACTGGAGGCGGAGGGTCTTTTTATTCGCGAAGCTGGGACGAAATCCAGGCCGTCGCAGGAAGCGTTCGAGTTTAAACCCGGCCCGAACAGCCCGATATTTGCGACTTTCCGACGAAGCATCGACAGCTCACCACGCAATAGCTGGAGAGCAAGTGTACAGAGCTACGCCAGTATGGACCGAGGAACGCAAACTGATGATGGTCCTACGACTGCTCCGACTTCTATCAGCCGTGCCTCCTCCCGGAGCTACCGTGACGTGTCCGACCGCGCTGAGACCAGTCCTTGGGACAACGAGGAGGGACGCTGGGAGACTGTCATCCCGGAACACGACGAGTATCACGGCCAGGATGATGTCGAAGACGTGGATCTGGATGACGATGTGGAAATTCACGAAGTCAGCAGCGCCACTGTATCGAAGCGCGAGAGTGCTGCCCATTCGCCTGTCCCGGTCGAAGATTCCATCGCTCCTGTGGAGTTTAAGCGTCACTCGCCCACATTCACACGGGCACGCCTTGTGACGATCTCCAAGCGGATGCCCCCGGCCCTCCCACCCCGAAACCCCCAGCGGACGCCCGCTCCTGTTTCGACTTCGACTCCTAGCTCGCCTACGGTAAACCCCTACGCACACAGCCGCCGGCGTTCCGTGGCGTCTAGCCCGGGACACGCCACGTACGGCTTCACAGAGATGCCTCTGTACCACAAGAGCGACTCGGAGAGTGACCTGTCCTCTACCGGTGCTCCCGAGTCATCCAACAAGCCGTCACCAGACCGTGAAGAGTTCCACTCGGTATCCAGTCTGCACGATTCGGACGTGGCGTCCGAGACCGAGGCTAATGAGGCCAAGGAGACTGAGACCGAGAAAACTCACGAGGCATCATCCGATGCGAGCACTCCTACATACGTTCACGAGTCTGATCTCTCCCCATGGGGGAAGTCTGACACGGACCTGGCACCCACCAAGACCATCACTTCTGATGACCATGTCAAAGTGGAGTCTACGGTGCAGCCCCAGACTGCGTGAGTGCTAGAGCACATATCGCCATTCCTTGTATATATTCCTTCTGGCATATTGTTATTGGGATTCATCCCGTTGCATATTGCATGTTGATGTTGATTCCCACTGTGTTTCGGCTGTTTGTATCGCGTTACCAGCTCTTGTTGTTATGTTTTATGTCATACTGTAATGGTAGTCTTAGCGTGCGTGGTGTTTGGTTTCAAATTGGGCATGGATACCTGGGCGTCTCGGGATGGATACTGGGACGTGGTAAGATGCTTGGAAGCGATTTGAGTTTGACAATATATCCCTATGTTCTCTTCTCCAGACTTTTCTATTGTAATGAAATAGCATTGTGTAGACTGCATTGCCTTGATCGGAACTGCAAAACCTGATCTGTATATGACCGATCACCATCGAGCCACCTACATCATGGCGCGCTCTGAACCAATACAGTAATGTCGATCAATCCCGCTTGACCAAGGCTGATTTCCTGCTGAAGCATATCATAAAGTGAAACATACTTTGTAGATATCCTCGGCAGTCGCCTGCCATTTACCCCATACATACATACCTACGGGAGAGTGGAGTGGAGCGAGTGCACGGCCATTCCATCAACTTAGTGAGACACTGACAACCGGCGATCCGCCGGCTTATCGGCGATGGCGTTATCAGACCCCTAGCAGTAGTACTACAGTAGTTAGTTAGTATTTATACTACTTCCTTCGCTCAAATTCCTATGACACTTTTATTTTTTTTCCTCTCTTTTGTTTTTTTCCTGTGCAATTGATAAACTCTTCATGAGAGTTCTGCACAGATTGAGATAGATACCTAGACAATCACCATGATGCTATCCCTCTCATCATCCGTCTCATCATCCCTCGGCATCATCTCCACTATCACCACCCTAGTCGCAGGACAATCATATTTCCCTCCCACACCCGAAGATCTCACCATAATCGAGTCAGAGATCTTCCCGGGGGCAAAAATCTCCTATAAACAGGTTGAGCTACTTACACCCTACCCCAACTCCAATCCCATCCTACCATCCTACTAATAATACTTACTACTGTACCAGCCCCTCGGCATCTGCACCAACACCAATACCACCAGCTACTCCGGCTACATCCACCTACCCCCGCACACCCTAACCAACCTCTCCATCCCAGGAATCAGCATCACCCAACCATACCCTATCAATACCTTCTTCTGGTACTTTCCCGCCCGCCATCACCACCATAATGGCACCTCATCATCGCCACTCACCATCTGGATGAACGGCGGGCCCGGCGGATCCTCCATGATCGGACTTTTCCAAGAGAATGGACCGTGCGTGGTGAACCCGGACTCGAATTCCACGAGCGACAATCCCTGGTCGTGGAATGAGTATGTGGATATGTTGTATGTGGAGCAGCCCGTCCAGACGGGGTTTAGTTATGATGTTTTGAGGAATGGGACGGTGGATTTGGTGAGTGGGGAGATTGATGTGGATGTTGATGTGGGGGAAGGTGATTGGGATGGGGTAAGGCAGAATGAGACGTTTCTGGTAGGGACACTGCCGAGTCAGGATGTGGGAGGGACGGTTAATGGGACGGTGAATGGGGGGAGAGCGTTGTGGGTTGCGTTGCAGGTTTGGTTGGGGGAGTTTGTTGAGTATGCTGGTGGGGATGGGGATGACAGGGTGAGTATATGGACGGAGTCGTATGGAGGACGGTATGGACCTGCGTATACGGCGCTGTTTCAGGAGATGAATGAGCGGATTGAGAGTGGGGAGGTAAGCATCGGCAAGAAAATCCATTTGGATACGTTGGGGATTATCAATGGGTGTGTGGATTTACTCGTCCAGGTCCCTTCGTTCCCGGAGATGGCGTATAATAATACGTATGGGATTGAGGGGATTAATCGCACGCTTTACGATAGGGCTATGGATAACTGGAGCAAGCCGGGTGGATGCAGGGATATGATTATTGAGTGTCGCGATGCGGGCGAGCTTGGGGATCCTCTCATGTATGGGGACAATGAGACGGTGAATGGTATCTGCGCGGAGGCGTCGGAGTATTGCTCACGGGAGATCAAGAGTCTGTATACGAATACCTCTGGACGGGGTTACTACGATATAGCGCATTTCACGCCGGATGCGGCTCTCGTGCCCTACTTCGTCGGGTTCTTGAACCGTCCGTGGGTGCAAAAGGCGCTCGGGGTCCCGGTGAACTATACCATGTCGTCAGAGGCAGTGGGAGACAGCTTCGACTCGACGGGCGATTACCCTCGCAATGATCCCCGCGGGATGATCGGGAATATTGGGTACTTGCTTGACTCTGGTGTCAAGGTGGCTATGGTGTATGGGGACCGGGACTATGCCTGTCCGTGGCGCGGCGGGGAAGATGTCAGTCTGCTGGTGGAGTATGCTGAAGCAGAGAAGTTCCGGACTGCTGGGTATGCAGAGGTGCAGACGAAATCATCCTATGTTGGGGGATTGGTCAGGCAGTATGGGAACTTCTCGTTCACGCGTGTCTTCCAGGCGGGCCATGAGGTGCCGTTCTATCAGCCCGAGACGGCGTATGAGATCTTCAATCGGGCTCAGTTTAACTGGGATATTGCGACGGGAGAGGTCTCCTTGGTGGAGAACCAGGACTACGGGACGGAGGGACCGTCATCGACGTGGCATGTTAAGAATGAGGTGCCGGAGAGCCCTGAACCGACGTGCTATTTGTTGGCCATGGATTCGACTTGTACGGATGAGCAGAAGGAACGGGTGCTGAGTGGGGAGGCGGTGGTGAGGGATTGGGTTGTTGTTGATGATGTTGATGATGTTGAGACTGAGGGGGCGTTCAGTGGAGATGGTGATCAGTTAGCACAGGTCCCGTTGGGACACTGATGTTAAGTGTAATGTTGATAGTGTGGTGGTTGGTTGTGATATAGATAGTATACACTGCATAAAGACATAGCTGACTAATCTTTATATGTATATATGATGCTAGCTCGATCTGGCAAGTGGCCGGCTGACTGCCCAAAATGGAAGACTGAAGCATCTCAGCTCAATTCCATCAGTCCATCTGAATATCTCCATCTGGCTGTCAAACTCCTATATCCATCGGCTGGACCCTTCTAGTCTTACCTCCACTGCTATCACCGGAACAATCTGTATGGCATCACGGGTTGACCCCTCCCTCGCGGCCATCGAACCTTCTCGAACCTTCTATTGGTCGACCGCTGCGGTCAACGTCACACGTCACCGCAGGCTCACCTGAAAGCCGCCGGCGCTGCACTATACATCAGCCCTCGTCCTCACACCTGGCTTCTCCGCTAATCCTTCAGATACATCATTCACTGTGCCTTATGTCTTGAAACCACACCTATATAACCTACATTAACACCCGTCGATATACTTTGATCGGATCGCGGACCGCTGAATCTTCTACGTCATTCGAGACTCTGCTCCCCTCCCCTCGATTCCCCCATCTCACCCCGTGGTGTGACCCCCTCGTGGTGTGCTTATATGGTGTCTGGACTCGCCAATTAGAGCCGTGCATCACATTTCTACCACGTCTGTCGATTTCGTGATTCCCGTTCCTTTGACCTATCTTCTGGCCCTCGCCAATCGACTCCACAATGGTTGCAGAAACGAAACTCTACGATGCCCTCTCGATCAGGCCCGATGCCTCGCAGGACGAGATTAAGAAAGCTTACCGTAAGGCGGCATTGAAGTACCACCCCGACAAGAACAAGGATAACCCGACCGCTTCGGAAAAGTTCAAAGGTATGTTCTGACTCTATTTACCCCGCCCCAGCCTCCCGTTTTAGGCCAATGGTGCTAATTTCAACAGAGGTGTCCCAGGCATACGAGGTTCTTTCCGACCCTGAAAAACGAAAAGTCTATGACCAATTCGGCCTTGAATATCTCCTTCGTGGCGGACCCCCGCCGTCCAGCGGCGGCGGTGGTGCAGACGGCCCCAACCCCTTCGAAGGTGGCATGCCCGGCGGCTTCTCGTTCGGCGGCATGCCTGGCGGCGGCGGTGGCGGTACCCGGACATTCCACTTCTCGACTGGTCCCGGCGGCGGCGGCAGCGGGTTCCGGTTCAGCAATGCAGACGATATCTTCCGGAACTTTGCCAAAGGCAGCATGGGCGGTATGGGTGGTGGTATGGGCGGCGGTATGGATGATGACGATATCTTCTCGATGCTGGGAGGTGGGCTCGGCGGCGGTCGGAACTTCCGGAATAGTCGCGGGCCTAGCGGATTCAAGCAATCATCGCAGCGCGCGCCTACGCCCGAGCCTACAGTCATGGAGAAGGAGCTGCCGCTGACGCTGGAGGAGCTGATGCGCGGTACGACCAAGAAGGTGTCTGTCAAGAGTAAGACCTTTGATGCGAGCGGCAAGCGCACCGTGCAGGATGTGACGCTGGAAGCGAATATCAAGCCGGGTCTGCGGACCGGCTCGAAGATCAAGTACCGGGGAGTAGGCGATCAAGAGGAGGGTGGTCGGCAGGACGTACATCTGATTGTGACTGAGGTAGGCATCCCCACCTTAAACTCATTTATACCTTAGTCAATACTAACGATCAGCAGAAAGAACACCCCAACTTCAAACGCCAAGGCGACAACCTCGTCACAACAGTCGAGCTCAGTCTGAAAGAAGCGCTGACCGGCTGGGAGCGCATCGTGCGCACAATTGACGGCAAGTCCATCCGAGTTTCCAAGCCCGGCCCGACACAGCCTGGACACGAAGAAAGATTCCCAGGACTGGGCATGACGATCTCGAAGAAGCCCAGCGAGCGCGGCGATCTGGTGGTTCGGGTGAATGTGCGGTTCCCTGCTAGCCTGAGCGCGTCGCAGAAGGACATTCTCAAGGACGTTCTCCCGTGATTCTTCTTTGCCTCTTTGATACTCCTATTGTCTCTGTTTATTTCTATTCCCATTTCGCTGGTCTGTTAGCATTATGGCGTTGGGCGTGCGGCTGGTTCCGTGATGTGATGAGTGATGATGATGAAGCAGTAGTAGCTTGGAATAAAAGCTTATATACCTGTATGAGTGTGATAAATTGTTAATGTATGCTAGTATTCAGATACTACATAAACGGAAATTCAGATAATCAATTACTTTAGTAGAACAAGAACCGGCATATCTTATCACACTGATCACATGCCCTCCCTATCCAAAACAGGAATGACTACCTAGCTAGCCTTATCGATAAGATAGCGGTCAACAACAACAACATCACACCTCTCCCCAGCTCCATCCAGCTCCAGCTCGCTCCATCTCCATCTCCGCAAACCAACCAGATCACTCACTCAATACCATACCAATAATCCATCCCACTCAATTAACTACTCCCCTTCCATCTCATCTCATAATCAATTACCCACCACCAAATCCCCCAAGTAAAGAAGAAAAGAACCCCAAAATGAAAACAAGAATAACCTACCTCCAACCCCCCTCCTCGCCATTCACCTCCACCCAAGCAAGCCTCACCCCGACGTCCCTAAGAATCAGTGATTTGGATGCCGCGAAGGAGGTTCGTGTTACGGTTGATGTTGCAGAGATATCTGATGATGAGGTGGGTATATTGTCTTTCTTTATTACAACCCATTCATATTCATCTACTACTATCTTGATCAAGATAGATAGCTAATACATGTGGATTTAATCAATCTAGGTCCGAGATATTCTGAGCAGCTTGCATGAAGTACATATTCGCTGGGCGAGGGAGGATCCGTATGTGATTGTGGCGCCGTTCGGGAGTAGGGTTTCTGCTGGGGTGGGGGTGGGAGTTAGTCCTCTTCAACACTCTGGAGAGGAGGGTGGGGAAGGGGTATGTCGTCTTCTAAGGAGGATGTTTGGGACGAAGGGGATTGAGTGTGTTAATTATGAGGTATGTGTTTCTTTTTCATTTTCAGTTATACTGGTGGGGTGTGTACATGTGTGTGATGCTGATTCTGGTACATGTAGGACTCCTTCACCACTCCTTCTGTTCTCTCTACGCGATTCGCTTCCACGTCTACGTATCAATTCCACTCCGCTCTGCCGGAACATAATCTTGGGGAGTATATTGTGGAGAATATCTGTCGCGGGGAGGGTTCTGCGTGCGCTGCGGATTGGGGCTCCGCTGATAGTATTGATGTGGACTATGATGCGGTGTCGCGGTCGCTGGTGGTCTCTGGGTACTGGGGCCAGCCTGGTACTTCGGGGGAATGGACGGAGGAGATTCGTGCGCCCGGGGAGAGTCGTGATCGGGTTGAAGTTGGGTTGTTGGGGACGGAGAAGGCGGTCGAGGCGGAGGAGATTAAGGTTGGTGGGTTGTTGGGTGTTGTCGGGGTGGACAAGGAGTTGAGTATGCATCCATCCCCTTCCTCTTGTTTTTGTGTGTTGTTGAGGGAATGATAGCTGACGGTTTAGAACCCACGTTATTCTCCTTCCCTTCCAGACACCATGTCCTCCCTCGCGAGGCGACTTTCGATGTCTCCTTCCCTCGTCCGACGGGCACGCATCCGACTATGACCATTTCTCTGTCCCCCGCTGCGCTGGAGTATCCCGCTGCACCGGAGGACACAACCTGTGCGCTGCATGCGTATCTGACGCTGCCGTCGTATATCTTCGGCGACAAGTACCAGCTGAGCACGGATGATCCGCTGTTCTTGGACTCGCATCATCTGGTAGCGTTGCGGGCAGTAAGCGGAGCAACGGACCTGGAGGCCCCGGATTGGTTTGTCCCGCACTGGGGTTCGAATTGGCTGCTTGAGCTGGCTACGCCGCCTGAAGGCCAGGTGCCGGAGGAGTGGAACGTCACGGTGCCGCTGCATCTGCGGTACCTGCGGCCGTCGGAGACTGGGTACCGCTCCGCGGGGGTGCCGTGGCCGGTAGTCTTCTGGGCTTGCACAGCGGAAGAGGGCACGAAGATGGGCACGAACCCGTTCGATCGGGTGAACCTAGGTTGGGATGGTATGTTCGGCCCCCGGACGATGTTCTATCAGGTGCATCCTAGTGGAGAGAAAGCCCGGCATGTTGAAGAGTTGGACGTGCCGGTGCTCCGGTTAGAAGAGGGCGGATTCTTCAGCAGCAAGACGGTAGAGCTGGGCACGATGGCAGCGATTGTTCTAGGCTTGCTGTGGGTATTGTGGAAGCTGGGTAGTGTGGCGCGATCTTCCGGACAGAAGAAGAGCGACAAGGAGAAGAAGTCGCAGTAATCATCCCTCCCACACATTCCAACCTTGAGAATGTGTTTAGGCACCAATCTGCCGCCGCTATACATCAGTGTACATAAACCGCTCCATATCGAAGCTACCCAAACTAGGAATATCAATTAGCAGATCACTCAACCATGAGAACCCTGGATAATCAGCCAGCGAATGATGCGGCTCCGTAGAATCACCACTACCACCAGCATCGGTCGCAGGCGTCCCCCCCAGCCCCATCTCAATCTGGTCCGCCCCCGCCCCCGAGTTAACCTTGAGCACATCCTTCAACGCCTTCGTATCCTCCTCCTTCCTGCGCTGATGCAACAAAATCAACAAATACGCCGTACTATACGCCTCGCGCATCACCTCCGTATCATACGCCGCGGCCACCTCGCGCAGGGTGCGCATCGCACCCCCCAACATGACCAACGACGCCCGATTATCTATCGCCAGGAGGGTGCACACCACCTGAAACGGCACGTTCGCGATCTGATGCCACGGGCAAGTTGTCGCGACCATCTCTCTCGCTGCCTGCAGACCCTTCACGGAGAGTGCCAGCACGCGGTCCAGCAAGTCCCCGGAGATAATGCAGTTCAGGGCGCGCAGGCGCCGGTAGATGCAGAGCATGAGGTTACATTGCACGAGAATCAACTGAGGTAAGACGTGGGTTTGGTCGAGGACGTTGCGGAGAGCAGATTCGAGGTCTGGAGGGTCGGTGGTTTTGTTTGTGTTTGGGTCGAGGCTTTCGGACATGGGTAAGAGGGTGAAGATTTCTGGGGTGCCTGGGACGCGCGGCGTCGGAGGCAGGGAGGTTGCGCCGTGGAGGACGACGCGGGAACGGGCGAGCTCGAAGGAGATCCAGACGTTAAGATGGCGGGCCATGCCGAAGAGGCGGCGGCGGAGGTCTGGGTCGACAGGGGTGGGAAGTTGGTTGATGGCGTCGGAGGAGGGTTGCTCCAGATGCAGGCCTGTTGCTTCGATGAGGTGCATTAGGGTGCAGCTGGCTGTCCAGGCGAGATTCGGGGTTGAGGTTAGTCGGAGGTAGGAGACGCGGAGGACCCATGCTGTTACGGTGTCGAGGGTGGGGGTCGTGTCTGATAGCATGTTTTGGTCGAGGATGAGCCGGGCTGTCTCCGCGAGTTGGAGCTCTGTTACGCTGGATTGTCTCCGGGAGAAAAGGTAGCCGAAGGCTGCGACGCCGGCGAGGACGGCGTCGTAGGGCCCGTAGAGGAGGGCCGAGTCGGCGGTGGGTGGGAGCCAGCGGCGACTGACTTGGCGGAGGAGGGTGTCGCGGTCAATGAATGGGTAGCATGGGTCGACTTTGTCGAAGAAGATGGCTACGAGGGAGCGCATCTCGTCCTGCGAGATGATGTCCACGATGGGGACTGCTTTGGGAGCGGATGGTGGTGGCATTGATGGAGGTGGGAGATGGCGCGCGCCCACGTTCCATGCGAATAGATGCATCTTGGGTGCATTGGTGGGATCGACCTTGAGGCCGAGGCGCCTGGCGAATGCTGCGCCGGAGTTGGCATCTAGCGAGCTGAGCCGGGCTGCTGTCTCCTCTGGGGAGATCTTGGGCTCGTGGCGCGGAGGATGCGCTGCATCAGGGGCCGTTGCAGAGTCTGCCGGTGCGGCGGACTGCAGCTGGAATAGTCTGGCATCGCGCTTTCTGCGCGATTGGAGGTCATAGTGGCAGTCGGAGCCGAACTGGGCGCATGTTGTGCATGGCTGGTCGCCGGAGCATTTGCGCTTGCGCGATTGACATAGTGTGCAGGCAACACGGGAACGCTTCCTAGAGGGTTCGGTCATGTCTCCCTTGGCAGCCCATGCCCATGACTGGAGGGTCTGAGGTGTAGATAGGTGTAGAGGTGGGATAAGATCAGGAAGTTGATTCCGGTCAGTTGATGTTGATAATAGTTAACTAGTGCGGAGCATGTGATGTGCTGGTGAGTCAGCTTAGCTTGTGCGGAGCATAATAGTTATTCACACCTTATCTCTAACTCCATCTCTACTTCCTGATCTGCATCGGACCGATCGAATATAGCGAGGTTCTCAACAGCGATTATAGAGTGCCACTCTATTGTTCTTCAGTTAGTCCACGCGTTTAGAGGTTGAATAGCCATGGAGAGATCTTATTTTAAACCCACCAACAGCAAAGTGCAACGTAAGACATCCATCCACAATACAAGCATCGGAGTCGGAGTCTCGCAGGCTCCGCTCCGTTCAGGTCCCATGCCACCATGCCAGCAGTAGTTTATCTTGTCTGTCGGCGAGTACAATGCCAGTGTAACCGTGTAACTTGAGCCAAAATGCCAACCGTACGGGCTTGTACAAACTGTGTCCGAGCAAAGACGAGATGTGCCCTCAGTGGAGCCTCCGGGACATGTGAACGGTTAGTCCGCTCTCATTGATATCCTGGCCATGCTGATAGTCTGGTAGATGCGTACGCCTCCGGAAGACCTGCCAGCCATCGCCTCCAGTGCGCAAGCGCCGGGTAGTGGCCAAAGCCTCTGCAAAAGATGTCCAGAAGCTTGAGGAGAAGCTGGACGGGTTGTACAGTATCCTGCATGGCCAGACGGGTATGCTGAATGGGTCGAATCTGTCGGCCCAGGAGCATGCAGTTCCAGCACCTCATACGGACGAAGCCGTATCGCTGTCTGTATCTATACCGCAGAGTTTATCAGGCGCAACATGTAGTCCAGCTGCTCCTTTCGAGCAGCCTCGAACAGCTTCTTACGAGCCTAACGATAATGATGCCGAGGTGTACTTGGCTAGGTTCCGCTCCGATTTTATCGGCCATCTGCCCTTTCTTGATATCCCAGTCTCTCAAACTGCCAGGCAACTGCATCACGAGAGCCCGCTGCTGTGGCTGGCGATAATGACTGTCGCATCTACGCGGACAACGCAGCAGAAAGCCATGTCCAGGCAGATGAGAGAGACATTTGGCCGCGAGGCGTTTGTAGAAGGCACGAGAAGTATAGACTTCCTGTTGGCGGTTCTGGTATACGCTACCTGGGATCGCTACTACGCACTTGACAAGCCGCTTTTCACTATTTTGATGCAGTTGGCTATCGCAATTGTATACGACCTAGGCTTGGACAAACCACCGGCGCAGGACCCGAGCCTCTTGCTTAGCTACGATTTGAAGGGGCACAATCGGCCGTCCCACTACTCTCGGCTGCCTACCATGCAGGAACGCAGGGCTTTGCTGGGATGCTTTCTCGTTAGCTTCACGTAGGTAGACCCTCCTTGGGTATAGATGCTGTCTAACATTCCAAGGTCGAATGTGTCCCGAAACGGTGAGCCACTTCAGTGGACGCCCTCATTCGACGACTGTCTTCGTGTATTCGAAGAGCAAAACGAATCAACCAATGATACCTTGCTGGTGCAGCTTGTCAAACTACGTCTCATCACAGGAAAGGTGACGGACGCACCAGGGACGGGGCCGAGCGACACTCACTGACAACAGTAAGCTCCTAACACCCGTCGAATACCCAGCTAACAGCACACAGAGATCCTGCAAATGGAGCTGTACAGCGCAGAAATGATGATCTACGAGATCGGCTTCACGTCAGACTCAAGTATATTTCCGCAACAATCGAACAAACAATTCGAATGTCTCTGTGCCTGTCTCCAAACTATCAAGTCCTGGACCGACACCATTCTAGCCCTGCAACCCGTTGAATATGTCGGGCTTTCGTGCTTGATGTGCGCCAACATGGCACGCAGTTTCATCAACCTCTACCGTCTCACTGTCTGTGAGTACCCCGTCTGGGACCGCAAACTGGTGCGGGAGACAATAGATGTGTCATGGGTACTGGAGACGGCGGCACAGCGGTTCACGCAGGTCAAAGAAGCAGCTGGACTGGATCCAGAAGGTACTCAAGAACTTGACTTCTTCATGATCATGGCAGCGAAAATGGAGGCTATGAAGATGTCGTGGGACACGGCGGTGATGCCGATGATGGAGGACACTTGGGAGCCGACTTTGGATGATCTGGACTTGTTCTCTAGCGAATTCCGCAATATGTGGAGTTGGTGATTATCTGCAGCAGGTAACAGTAGAAATACAAGCTTTTTTCGGTGCTTACCAACAAGCAGTTCCCCATCCATTTGCTCACGGAGGAACATGAGGCATGGTCCGGTCCATCGGAGCGGAGTGTCATAGCTCCCACTCCGATTCAGATATATCCAACATCCCTCCCATATAAATAGAGTAGCTAGTCATGGCTATACTTCAACTCCAATCACAATCACCTTCTCATCTTCTCCATCAGCTTCGAGCCTCTTCACACCTTCACACTCTGTGCCAGCGGAACCGCCAATCCACGCCGATAGCACCTTGCGGTCTATAGAACGGTCTCACTTTCCACATCCCGCATCCATCAACAACAGCGCAACAACACAACATGCCCTTCCACCCCACCAAAGACATCCCCGACCTAACCGGCAAAACGATCCTCATAACCGGCGCCAACAGCGGTCTGGGCAAGGCCTCCGTGCTCGAATTCTCCCGGCACAACCCATCCCAAATCTGGCTCGCCGCGCGCAACCTCACCAAAGCACAATCCGCAGCGGACTCAATCAAACAACAAGTCCCCACAGCCCGCATCCACCTCCTTGAACTCGACCTCTCCTCCTTCTACTCCGTCAAGCAAGCCGCATCGGTATTCCTCTCTACCGCCACCCGACTCGACATCCTCATGCTCAACGCCGGCGTCATGGCCGCACCACCGGGAATGACGTGGGACGGGCGATACGAAGTGCAGTTCGGGACGAACTTCATGGGTCATGCGCTGCTCACGAGGCTGTTATTGCCCGTAATGAAGAGGACAGCGAAGCGGGATGACGCTGGTGTAGGTGGTCGTGTGAGGATTGTGGCTGTGGCGTCGCACGGACAGCGGTATGCGCCGGCTGGGGGACTGCAGTTCGAGACGTTCAAGATGAATGGGGAGACTATGGGACCGTTTGCGAGGTATGGGCAGAGTAAGCTGGCTGTTGTGCTTTGGGTGAGAATGTTAGCGGAAGTATATCCGTGGTTGACTGCTGCTTCGATTGATCCGGGGGTGGTGGGCACGACGCTCGGGGATGGGGCTACGGGTGCGCCTAGGTATATTCAGTTTTTGTTCAAGGTGGCGTTGGTGTTGAGGCTCGCGGCGAGTTTGGAGGTTGGGGTTAGGAATCAACTTTGGGCGGCGGTTTCGGGGGAGGTGAGTAGTGGGGAGTATTATGATCCTGTTGGGGTGCTGGGGAAGTCGGCGTTTGGGAGGGATGGGGAGTTGGCGAGGAGGTTGTGGGGGTGGACTGAGGGAGAGTTGGATGATTATCTGGGGAGAGATTGATTGTAAATGCAGTTCATACTTTGCTCTTGTTGATGTTTGTTATTGATTTCTTGGCTATATGGCTTGATTTCTCTGATATGGTTCAATGCTGCACTGTGTAGTAGTATGAAGTGTATATCAGCTCCAATCATTGCTCTCAACTCCCATGTTATATGATGCAGCTACATTCAATTCTTGGTATACCTTAACTGTGAGCTCATAAAGGTCAATCTTCGTACCTCCTCCCATCAGGATACCCCATAAGTCCCTCCAGCTCCTTCAAATCCGGCATCCCCGCCGGTCCAGGCATATACAGCATATGCTCCCTCTCCGACGTCCCATTCCACCAGATCTCATTCTTATGCAACGCCTCCATGATCTTCGGCGCATCAATATACGTCCGGATCTCGACCATTTGATCCTGATACCACTTCGTCACCCACACATTGATGATATCAAATGGGTCTCCTGCACATCATCAGTACACTTCATCCCTCAAATATACAATATACTAAAGAATGGAAGGTAATAATACCAGAATTCATTACCCCCTTGAAGTTTACCTCCTGCACCGACCATTGACTCTCACACCCCCCAATGATCGCGACCGGATGAATCTCAAACTTATCGGCATGGTCCATGAACAACACACTCACTCTTCGCAATGCATTCACATAAAAGTGCAGCAGATCGTTATAGTGTCCCGCAATCGGATGGTGTCCTACAACGGTGAAATTGACATTCTTGTGGATAAGCGTGAAGAGCTTCGTCATGTCTTTTTCGAGGATTTTGAACGAGTCCCAGATGTGGGGTTGCGAGACGTAGGTGCAGTTTGTCGAGGGATTCTCGAAGTGGAAGCCCTCGCGAGGAGGGTCTGCGGGCGATGGGGGGATTAGGCCATCGCCGGTGCAGGGGTGGTCTTGGTTAGGATCATTGGGGTCGATGAGGCCGGTGCCGTTGCAGTGGGGGTCGTCTAGGGGTCGAGAGTCTGTAGGAGAGGGGGCGAGAAGGGTTTGATCATTGTTAGTGTTGATGTTACGGTTGGGGAGGGTAAGGGTGAGTGTTAGGGCTGGGAGAAGGAGGATTATGAGGATGAGGTGCATGGTGTTATCTCGGGTAGATATACTAGTTTGATGTTTATACTTAGTTCTGATGCATGACATATAGTGCAATGTATGTTTCTACTGAAGTTTTATGTATTGGTCTGATCAAGTCTCCGAACGCATAATCTGCCGGGTATCACGGTCATGTATGTTGCAGAAATGAGCCGGTGCTGCATTGGATAAATCTGTGGCAAGTTCAGCAGACTGTCCGCAGCTGGTTGGCTCCTCTGGTTACAGATGCACATTAGCCTAGGATGTGTGCGAGCAATGCGACAACTCAATTGGTTGTCGAGTATTAAACGTCTTCCTTGTGCTGACTAGCGGTGTAACACTCGGCGCTAACGTGCATTTTATATACCATCACCATCTACTATCCAGCAGTAGTGGTTGTATACCATGAGCTGGAATAACCCCAGCATTCTTAATTGGCGTCCGGGGATAGAGTATTTATATTAGTCAAGAATATGCCGGAAAGAGAGAATGAAGCTATCAGTTATGTAAAAGTTAGTCACCAAGATCTGCCATACTTGGGGTTATCAGAGCCACGAAACCCACCAAGTGGAGAGACTTACATCAATAGTGAGTCATGGCGAGTTCTCAGTGGAAGGGAAGGGAGAGCCCGCCCCCTGTTTGGGGCAGCTATGGAATGGCTGGGCAGCTGTTCCTGTTGTTGAGCTGCACTAATCCTTACTGTTCAGAGGAACTGGGGTTCATTATTGAAGAAAAAATGGATCCATCAAGTGAAGGGCGCGAGAATCGGCGGAAGAGTGAGTCAAGGGAATGAATAAAACCCTGCCAAAGTTGGCCTCCCCGATAGCGGACTGTCGAATGGCCGCCCTCCGATTGGCCGGACACGCACAACCAAGTCGGTGAGTGAGGAAAGCACGTGCCACCCGACCGGGCCGGCACACTTTTTCCCTTCTTTTTTAATCTCTTGGTCCCTCCCTCTCTTTCTCTCCCTTTCCTTTCTTCTCCGTATCCCAGATTGCTCCCCCCAGAATCATCAACGCACTTCCATGTCTAACTAATTAGACACCCTCCCATCTCCAATCTATCTTGTATACCAATCCTCAGTGACTGGTAACAGCACAGTCGCGCTTATGCGTTTGGCACCTTCCGTCTTCACTTCTCAGGTACGTTGTCTACCACAGTATTATGGGTTCCCATGGCTACTCCGCATTCCCCTCCCCGCCACTATCGTCACTCGCCAGGGCTATCCCATCATCGAATTGAAAGGCATTGATAGAATACTAACATGTTATCTGTAGGACTACATCTCGGATCACCTCTGGAAAGCTTCCGGAAACTTCTGAATCCACTTCACACAACCCGCCGTATTTTTCTTTAACATCAAATAAATCCTATCACAATGTTCGCTCGTGTGTTCAAGGCCATGCCCGCCAGGGCCCCTGCCTTCACTTCCGTGAATGCTTCTATCCAGTCCCGCTTCATGGCTACCGTCCGTCAGGGACGTCCCGCCACTGAACGTGCCACTTTCACGATCCGAGATGGCCCCATCTTCCATGGAAAGTCCTTTGGAGCCCGCTCCAACATTTCCGGTGAAGCCGTCTTCACCACCTCTCTGGTCGGATACCCCGAGTCCTTGACCGACCCCTCCTACCGTGGTCAGATCCTGGTCTTCACCCAGCCTCTGATCGGTAACTACGGTGTCCCCTCTGCCGAGAGGGACCAGCACGGTCTGCTCAAGTACTTTGAGTCCCCCAACCTCCAGGCCGCTGGTGTCGTCGTGGCCGATGTGGCTGAGCAGTACAGCCACTGGACCGCCGTCGAGAGTCTCGGTGAATGGTGTGCCCGTGAGGGTGTGCCCGCCATCTCCGGCGTCGATACCCGTGCCATTGTCACCTACCTCCGTGAGCAGGGATCTTCCCTCGCTCGTATCACCGTCGGTGAGGAGTACGACGCTGACCAGGATGAGGCCTTCGTCGACCCTGAGCAGATCCACTTGGTCCGCCAGGTCAGCACTAAGGCTCCTTTCCACGTCAGCGCCGCTGACCCCCAGTGCCACGTCGCTGTGATCGACTGCGGTGTTAAGGAGAACATTCTGCGTAGCTTGGTCAGCCGTGGAGCCAGTATCACTGTGTTCCCCTTCGACTACCCCATCCACAAGGTCGCCCACCACTTCGATGGTGTCTTCATCTCCAACGGCCCCGGTGACCCGACTCACTGCCAGGACACCGTCTACCACCTCCGTCGCCTGATGGAGACTTCCCAGGTGCCCATCTTCGGTATCTGTCTGGGTCACCAGCTCCTGGCTCTGGCCAACGGTGCTCGCACCATCAAGCTCAAGTATGGTAACCGTGCCCACAACATCCCGGCTCTGGACACCACTACTGGCCGCTGCCACATCACCAGCCAGAACCACGGTTATGCCGTGGATGCTTCCACCCTGCCTTCCGACTGGAAGCCCTACTTCGTCAACCTGAACGATTCTAGCAACGAGGGTATGATCCACAAGACTCGTCCCATCTTCAGCACCCAGTTCCACCCCGAGGCCAAGGGCGGTCCCCTGGACTCCTCTTACCTCTTCGACATCTACCTGGACAGCGTCGTCAAGTACAAGAACCACCAGCTGGCGTTCCACCCCAACCGGAACACCGTCCCCAGCCCTCTCTTGGTTGACCTCTTGGCCAAGGAGCGTGTGGGCGTTCAGCCTACCATTGGCATGCAGAACGTGGCTGCCGCTGCTGCTGCTGCCGCCGCCGCTGCCGCTTAAAGGAATGTCATTTGGAACTGGAGTTTGGGTTTGGGTTTAGGTCGGAATATCTTTGGTTGTACATGATTCATTCGGTTTAGATTGGGTACATTTCGGTTTAGGAATATATTTTCACTTCACACATAATATGTTCACCCGTACTTTTCCACTCCATAGTAATGTAGATTCTAAGCCGCCGTATTCCCTCATACCTGAAGGATGAGAAGGTCCAACTTGAGGTCCCGTGACATTAGTCATCCATGATTGACCCAAGAGCATAGGAATAAAGTCAAGTGGTTTCCAAACGTCGTTACAGTCGCTGTGCCCATGCCTGCAGATGTTCACACGTAGTACTTGCTTTCATATCAATGTCCGATCCCACAAGCAACTATGGAGTCTAGTCTCAGACCAGCCTTATGTCCGCAAGATCTCGTTGATGTCCACCTTCACTCCCCTAAAGTCAGATAAGACGAACCGGGATACAGACGCGTCCAACGCTTCTCGAACATCAACCGCAAGGCCTAGCAAGCCGCAGTACAGGCTAATTGAAGACGTCGAAGACCCGCACAGATACTGCCCCGGAGGATACCACCCCCTAGAGATCGGAGACGACCTAAACAAGGGCCGATATCGACTGGTTGACAAACTAGGGTATGGAGGATACTCGACTATATGGCTAGCCCGGGACCTACACCGGGCCAGATACGTGGCAGTGAAAGCCATTACCGCTGATGCTAGCACCTCTACACCAGAGGCTAGTCTTCTATCCTCTCTGGGAAACTCACCACCTGGACTAGGAAGTGAGATCTCCCCACGACTCTTAGATGAATTGGATTGCCGGGCCCAATGGGAAGCATAGATGTGTTGTTACTCCGCCGGCACGTATGAGCTTGTTTGATGCCAAAGAGGCATCGACGTTTGGGCTTTTTCACCTGGATGTTGCGCGGTCAATCATTGCTCGGCTTATTCGTGGGGTCGCGTTCCTTCATGGCCAGGATATTGTACATGGCGGTATGTTATGTCTATAGATGTGTATAGCTGGATTGGTTGACTGAACTTCTCAAGATCTGCATCTCGGCAACATCCTAGTTCAATTTCCTAGGGAAGTGATCGATACTCTCTCCACTGCAGAGCTATACGAGAAATACGGCGAGCCCTACTCCGAAGCCGTCATTCGTCTCGACGGCAAGCCATTAGCAAATAACATACCCGCACGCGTGTTCATTCCCAGCTGGTACGGCGTTCCCAGCAATGACATTATTCTCGGAGAAGAAAAGATCCTCCTCAGCGATTTCGGGGAATCTTTCAACCCACACGAAACAGCCAGGTTCTCTTCAAAGACTCTTCCCCTCCTTCAGCCACCAGAGGCTAGATTCTCTAACAAGCCTCTCTCCTTTCCCTCAGATGTTTGGACACTCGCCTGTACCATCTGGGAGATTCTCAGCCAGCGGCCTTTATTCGAGGCCTTTTTCGCTACTCCTGACCGTGTGACCGCTGAGCAAGTAGAAACCCTTGGTGTTTTACCTTCTGAGTGGTGGGAGAAGTGGAGCGGAAGATGGGAGTGGTTCAATGACGAAGAGGGCAAGCTGAATTTGAAGAAAAAGTCTAGGGGTCCTGATGGTGTGCGTATGTCCTGGGACCGGAGGTTCGAGTACTGTATACAGGAGCCTCGAGCTCAGGCGGGCTTAGAAACAGTGGCAGAAACTGAGAGGAGGGCGTTCAAGGCGATGCTTCTGTCGATGTTGGCCTTCAGGCCGGATGAAAGAGCGACAGTACAGCAGGTTTTGTGCTCGGATTGAATGAGAGGTTGGGGCCAGCCGGCTCTGGATAGAGCTGGAGGACTTTGAGATGTGAGATGAAGAGGCTTACAGATGTGATCAATATACGTGATGTTCCTGTTGTCAAAGCCTGGAAAAGGTCGCCGAACATACTAGGTTAGGGGTGAGCGGCCTCGGTGCCAGACTCGAGCACATAGAGTAAGTATATACTAGCAGACCGTTTGAGCGTTCTCACTAAGTAAACCGGCGGTGTTCGGAGAGGAACAAGTCTACTGTCGTCGGTGAAATCCAAGTACTATTAATTTATGAGTGCATACATACTACTATCGTGATATATACACTATACTACAAATGCAGAGATCTCATTTAGATATATATGGTACACAATATACATTCGTCACTAAACCCGCCCGTTCATCCAACTAACTGCTTCCCAGACACCTAGTACAGCGGCAGGTCATAAGCATCGAAATCGTACACCCAAGTCTGGTACGACTCCTCATCAAAGACACAGGTCAACTCTGTCCCATTGTTCACAAAGTAAGGTCTCAACGGCCAAGCACACAATTGCTGAACCTGACCATAATTCTCACCCTCCTGGACCGTAGCATTCAAGCGATCCGGCTTCTGGCCGTTCTCCACCCAATCAAACAACGTAGGCAGAGTACTCTGCGGCCAGCCGCCATTGGGCTGGTCCGTACTGTACGAGCAGTGTGCAGCACCAGGAACAAGGTACAGACGGTTCCAATCGTTCAGGGCGTCGGAGGACTCGTTGAAGGAGAGGGAGGAGTACATCGTTTTGCGGACGGATTCGTGGTAGTGGACCGAGGAGCCGGTGGGGATACTGGGGTCGGATTCGCCGTGGACGTGGATGATCTTGCCGCCGTTAGAGTGGAACGGGGTCAGGTCGGGCCAGGTGGTTTGCAGGACGTCTTCGTAGCGTTGCCAGCCCAGAGTCATCCATTTCGTCATGACGTCGTAGGTAACGTTGTCGAGAGTGGAGAGGTTGTCGACGTCGTAGAGTTCGAGGAACTTGGCGACCCATTCGCCGCCCAGGGAGGTGATGTCCAGTTCCCAGGAGTCGGTGTCGGAGTTATATTGCGTTTCGGCGTCGTCGAAGGTCGCGCTGGGCTGGTACCAGATGTAGGCACGCTTGCCGTCAAGGGTCTTCAGGCCATCGAGGATCTTGGCGGCCACGGCGGCGCCTTCTTTGGTGACAGTGCCGTTTTGGGCTGGGGTGGTGTTGCTGGTGGAGAGACGTTTCTTGAGCACGGTGGTGGTGGTTTCGGCGGGGCAGTAGTAGGGGGCGCCGATGGTGGAGTTGACATTGAAATGCAGCTTGCAGAGGTCGGTGCGGGCGACGACGCCGTCCTTCTTGCCGTCAAGGGCGTCGCAGGCAGCGATGGTCATATTGTTGATCTTCTCGAGTTCACAGGGCGGGGGGTAGTAGCCCATGGTGTATTCGACGAGACCCGGGTAGAGGTGGTTAGGTTGCTGCTGGCCGTAGCGGATGGCAGGGGCGCCGATGACAGCGCCGTCCCATTCCTCACCGAAGCGCTGGACTTGGGACCAGCCCTCGCGGCCACCTTCAGAGCAGCCTTGGTAGTAGGCGTAGAGCTTGGAGGAGCCGAGGTCGAAGAAGTTCTTGGTGAAGGCCTTGCCGACGGCGCTGAGTTCGTAGTGGGCTTGATAGCCGAACATGTAGAGGGCCTGGCGGTCGATGGTACCGTTGGCCTTCAGGAAGACAGCGTCAAATTCGGTGGAGAAGCTACCGAAACCACCGTCCGTCTGGCCGGAGGCAGCGCCGTACATGACACCGCCGGGCAGGTCAGCGCCATCGCCGTTAATGGCGTAGCCGAAACCACCGGTGGAGAGCCAGCGGTTCTTGAAGTCGGCTGGGGCAGGGAGCCAGAACTGCAGCAGGACTTGGTCGTCGAGCCCATCGTGGGTGTAGGCCAGGGTGACGTTACAGAAGTCGAAGGTGGAGGCAGGCCAGAAGGCCGTGGAGGCGGAGCTGTAGTTGTAGACCGGGTTGGCGGTGATGGAGGTGGTGTCCACGGTGATGCCCATGAGGGGGCTGCTGGGGGCCACGGAACGAGCATAGGCGGATATGCAGACGTCCGCCAGGCTGGTGGCCCGGGCAAGGGAGAGTGTGGCCGTGCCGGCCAGAAGGCTCATCTTGGAGCGCATTGCGAGAGAGTGACTGAAAAGAGGGACTTTCAATGCGTGGAAAGAATGTGCTTGCCGGTGTGAAATACTGGGCGGATACCAGCTGGCGGTAGAGTGGTTTTATATCGTTCAAGAATTCGAGAATAGCCGTTGCCTGCTTTGTAGTACTGTTATTATCGTCATGGTATCCCGCCAAAGCCATGCAATCGTTGTATCCAGATTAAGGAGGACAAGCATCATCGACCCACAACGGACATCCGTGAACGAGGGAAAGATACGACGAGCCATTGGTCAAGGGAGAAGATGTACGCGTCCCCTGGGTTCGAAAGTGAAATGCTTAGTGACTGTCTCGCGGCATAGATCGTCAGGCACCGTTAATGTCATCTGTGGACCGGTTAGCTCGGGATTAACGGGATGAAGAGGACGTCGATCGGCAGCGTAATTGCTTACCATGAAGATGCTGGTTAAAATCAGCGGTGGTGTATGACATGCCGATTCTCCTTGAAAGCAAATTAGAGCAGCAAAGGGACTGACGTGGTGAAGAATGATAGCAAAGGAGGGCAACAGACAGAGAAAGAGAGCGCTGGAGATGGAGTAGAAAGATGGGGGAAGTTGCTTTATCCGATGGGGACGCGATAAGCCCGAGAAAAGCGGGTGGTTCCAGCCCAATAAGGAAGTTAAATCCTATAGTGTGCAGGCTAAGCTTTGGCAAGGCCGGTAGTCAATACCCTGACGCGTGTACCCTTAAATTATCTTCCTGTATTCCCTGCCAGGTGGATCCTGAACACTGAAGAATGATGCAAAGCGCGACGTGACTTGCACCGACCCATATTATCCGATGATCCCATTATTCCTCACCACACCAGATCCTTCTCCGCGGGATTTCCGGTGGGTTCATACGACTCAAAACGAGATCTGCAGAGAATACACCAAGTCTAGTATCTACTCCGTCCGAGCATATTTAGAACAGTCACCGTTGCTTGAACTAAAGTGTAGAATGCATGAACTATCTTCCGCTTCATTTAGCAACAATTGACACCACATCCTCATCCGACACCACATGTCCCAAGCCCACCCGCTGTGGGATATGGCGTGCACTCGCTCCCCATACCATCGCATACTTGAACGTTTCCTTCAATGTGCGGTGAATGTTGTCGCACACATCCTCGATAGTTGAGTTGCTGCGGCAGATCAATGCCTCGGAGAAGTCGGGCACCTCACCTTTCCTGTAGCATCGTTAGCAATGTCCCATTCATAGCAATAGGCGCTTGATCGTGGCTAGAACGAACCGTTTCGTGTAGACCCGGATAAGACGGAGTTCCTTCCAGATGCGATCCACGACATCTTCCACACCCAAGTCCAGTTCACAACTCATGACGGCTGTGTGTGGTTCGCGGGCTAGTTGATCAAGGAAGTCCAGACTGACACCGTCAATCTTATTGTAGACGTAGAGGCTATATTCAGATTAGAAGAGTGAAATGCTGATAGACGGATAAAGGTTTACCATCTGATGTATTTACGGTGATCCTTCATAATCACATCAATGAAGTCGTCAATCGTGGCTAGATTGATGTCAGCGACGAGACTCATTCAGACATTAAAGCATAATACATACCATATTCATCACGAACCAAGACTTCGCAGTTGAGCATCTTGTAATCGCGGAGAACATTGTAGATCATCTTCTCATCAAGGTACTTAGGCGGCGTCTGGAAGGTGATCTTCATGCCACCGGCCTTTTTCTGTTTGAGGTAGATGTTCCTACGCCGATTAGCCCAAATCCTATTTGGACAAAGCCTGAAATACTCACGGAGGCTCCTTGTTCAACCTGATGCCTACAGCATCCAATTCCGCCTCCAGCAGTGCTCGTTGCTCCGCACGTTTCGTAGCATCCAACACCATCAGAACGAGGTCACTCGTCTAACCCAGATTAGCCCCGAACGAATTAAAGCCTCCAGAAAGAGTGGTAAACAAACCTTAGCAGCCGAAATGACCTGTCTTCCACGTCCCTTACCCTCAGACGCACCCTCAATGATACCGGGCAGATCAAGAATCTGAATCTCCGCACCTCCATACTCAAGCACACCAGGGATAGCAGTGAGCGTAGTGAACGCATACGCGGCCGTCTCACTCTTCGTCTTGGTGATCTTGCTCAGGAAGGTAGATTTACCGACGGAGGGGAAACCGACGAGAGCTACACGAGCATCACCACTCTTGCTCACATCGAAACCGGCACCACCACCACCGGAGCCGCCCGTGGGCTCCAGGAGCTGGGCTCGTAGACGGGCAAGTTTTCTGAGTAGCAGTTAGTGCTGGTTCCGCATGGCGGGGTACTTTCAAAAATGAGGGGCATGAGTTCTGCTTACCCCTTCAGTAGACCAAGATGATACTCTATAGTCAAGAGTACATTAGTTTACACACAATCTGACATCAACCGGGACATCAAATCGCACCTGTGGCCTTGTTCTCTGCACGTAAGTTAGCATGGCGGGGCTATCAAGAGCTTATATGCGACCGAAACACTTACTCTGCGTCCTGCGCATCTCATCTTCGATCCTATAGAGCAAGAACAAAGCGTGAGCAAGTCATACCCAATAAACAGCACCAACAGACCTGCAAGATGGGCGACATACTCCTTGATCTTTTCCGTAATGTTCACCATCTTGCCGGTTTAAGAGCCCCGCGGACTCGATTTTCCAGATACAACAAACGACACAACCAGACAACCGAAGCTAGATTCCGCAGTAAGCAAAATCTCTCAAGTATCTATCAAACGAGCGAGATATCTCCCCGAAAATCGACGTGATCGCAGCGCAAGAACACGAGCAGCTCTGGTCTGGGGAAATCGTCCT